TGTGAGTTCAACTCCTCCCATGGCCATTTCTTTCTTTTTATGTGCTCATTTATTTCTATTACCTTCACAAAATCAAAAAATTCATAACTTGCTCATATTTTACTATTTTCAATCCATTCTTTTTGCAAAATACTCAAAATATTGTCTAGTTTCATGTTATGAAAAAATATTTCAAGTTGTTCATGTTCACAATGCCTTTTGCCTACTTGGAAATTGCTTATCTTTGAGGGTTGTTACCTTGCTCCTTGTTGAAATTCTCTTAAACCATGCTTGATTTATCTTGTAAGATTTGTTTGTGATTGATTCCTTTGTGTTTGTTAACATGTTAAGGCTTTGCCCTCTTTTGGTTGTCACCATGAATTTATCTATTTTACTCCTATTTTGACGTACCTGCTTATTATAACATGCTTGTATATGCTTTGTCGTAACCATGTTTCTTGTATTTATCCCTGTTTGATATTTATGTTTTGTTAAGTTTAGTTTCCCAAAGTGATGGAACTCTTTAGTTATCATCCAATTTGCCTCCCCTTCTATCATTCCAAAGGAAAGTCTCTCTATTTACCTTTGGGTCATAGATAGTTCATCTCTCTCCCTCGACTTTGTCAAGTCATTCATCTACACTTTGTTAAGTTAGAACCTGTCCTTTAGACTTTGCTTAAGTCTATAAAGCCACCCCTTGTTAGGAGTGCTCTTTCCATTAGAACTTAGGATAGAGTTCGTTAATTCTATGTAAGAACCATTGTCATGGTTACTTACTTCCCTTTCTTGAGTGTTCAACTTAGATCTAGAGAGTTTCCTTAAACTCTACGCAAGCATTGTCATATTTGTTCCCCTTTGAACCTTGATCATAATCAAGTGTTCTTCAAACCTAGTGAGGTGAACTACGATTGCTCTGATTCTATCCTAGTTAGGATATGTAGGCAGAAGATGCAACATCTTTGCGAGCAAATTTAGTGTATATATCTTTAGGTTTTAACCTACACCTTTTACCCAATCCATAAGCAAATATTTAGCAAACTTAGCATACAAACAAACAAAAGGTTCCTGTAGAGTACTACAGATGTTTAAGATGTAAAATACCTACCCTATGCATAACCAACCCCTTATCCCCGAATCTCTTAGTGTTGTTATTACATCGCGCAAAAGGTTCTTTCTCTCTTTAGACCTTTCCTTTGGATAAATTAAAGTCCGGTTGTGAATTCTAAGAATTAAATATTCAAGTTAATTCAATAGCTTGATATCTGATTCTCACCGCAACATCGCCCATATTATGCTATCTGCAGGAGCACAAATTCCCTCGAGATGAAGGGGAATCAAAGAAAGTCCGGAAGAAAGCTACCAAAAAGACTCTCTTGAAGGGAAAACTCTATAAATAAGGAGAGCCTCCCTATTGTTATGGTGTCTAGGGGAACATGAAACCGCCCTAGTCCTCGTTGAAGTTCATAAGGGCACATGTGGTATCTACATTGGAGGCAGAGCTCTCGCCCAAAAATTACTCAGAGAAGGTATTATTGGCCTACCTTGCTAAAAGACAACATGGAATTCATAAAGAAATATGACTAGTGTCAGAGGCATTATGACCTTCATCGTGCCCCACCTAGGCTTGTACATTATATGACATATCTTTAGATTTTCTACCAGTGGGGAGTGGACATTTTGGCCCAATTCCTTATGGCATAAGAGCAGCTAAAATTCTTGATCGTTGGAGTTAAATACTTTACAAAGTGGATAAAGGTGGAATCAGACACCAAGATCACAACATAAAGGGTTTTCATTTCTACTAGAAGAAAATAAACCCCTTTTACCATGGTGTATAAGACAGACAAAATACTTCCTGTCGAGATCAACACGCCTCTATGACGTCACTCTCAGTTCAACTAGAAAGTGAATAATGCAGGGCTTAAGTGCATTGCTAACTTGATCAATTAAGGAATACACGTCGCACACATTTGTGAGTTCTCGTCTAAACAAAGAGCGGTCAGGAGATATAAATCCAAGGTAACGCCAAGAGAAATGCACGATGGCGGCTTGGTGTTGAGACAAGTGGTTCTGCCTACACAACATGGAGAAGGGTTGTATCATGTATATCCCAATTGAGAAGGGTTGTATCATGTATATCCCAATTGAGAAGGGTTGTATCATGTATATCCCAAAAGCCGCCACATAAGCGTATAAGCTACATGACTTGAATGTGTGACTTATCCGTAGGACTTGGAACTCCATTTGTTTAAAATGTTTTTACAGTTAAGTTAGTTATGAATTTGTTAGAGGAGGCATGTTGCACACCTACGCACAAGGTTTTTAATATTTATGTCCAATGAGAATGTTTCAGTTTTTACTAGAACGTATGTTGGACTTCCACGGGAAGATCCTTGTCGCCTCTTAATGGAATATAAATATGCAAAAATTCCACAAGAGGATCATTGTCGCATCTTAAGGCAATTCAAATATGCTAGACTTCAACATGAAGATATTTGTCGCCTCTCAAGAAAATACAAATACGCTAGACTTCCGTCAGAAGATCCTTGTCGTCTCTCAAAAAAATATGAACATGTTGGATTTCCACAGGAAGATCCTTGGCGCCCATATGGGTAATACGAACAGACTACACGATGAGGGATACCATGTCTAACGCCTCACCTGAGGGACTTTAAGTATCCTCATAAAGGAAATATCCTAAAGTCTTTCCCGAAGGACGCAACCAAACTTTGACCCAAGAGACAGTCTTGCATGAGGTTTCAAACCGAAGTCTAAATCGAGTGACTCAACATCTCTTTTGAGGAGATAAGGGTCTCATAAAATAGGCTCATCAAAACGCCTCATCTGAGGAACTTTGAGTCTCATCAAACAGGCTTAACATATAATCTTGTCTGAAGGACTGTGAGCCCTATATAACATGCTCATATAAATGCCTTGTTCGAGGGACTTGGAGTTTCCTCACACAAGGTCCAACCTAAAGTCTTTCTTGAGAGAAGCGATCAAATCCTGACCCAAGATATTTAATGGGCTTGACCCAAGTCTCGCCCTCGCCCGAGAGACTCGACGCCTCGACTGAGAAACTTGGAGTCACATCAGATAGACTCAACACATAATCTCGCATGAGGGACCGAGGGTCCAATCAAACAGGCTCATCTTAACGCCTCATCTGAGAGACTTGAAGTTTTTTCAGGCAAGGTCAAACCTAAAGTCTTGCTCGAGGAACGCGACCAAAGTATGTCCCGAGGGACTTAACTCGTAAGTCTTGCTTAAGGGATTGAACTCAAGTGTCGTCTGAGAGACTCAATTCCTAACATGAGGGGCTTGGATTCTCATCCGAGAGGATCAATATATAATTTCACACGAGGGACACGACTGAAGCCTGACCCGAGAGACTTAACTCATAAGTCTTACTTGAGGGCTTGGAGACAAGTCTCGCCTGAGAGACTCAACGTCTCACCTGAGGAGACTTTGTGCCAGTTTGAATATTTGCATTTTATTCTAAGACACCCTCAGAGTTTGCTCCTCCCACTGTGCGCCATAGAGATCTTGATGTGATACTTGAGAATCTCGATAGTTATATGGTTCCAGATCGTATATAATAGACTTATGCAGACAATTAGATCACGTGGTTCTATAGGGTTGTGTAGACGGTTACATCACATGGTTATATAGGGTGTCACATCATATCATCACAGACGCTTCTGTGAGACCATCTTGGCCATCTAATCTAAAGATATTGGAGGCTAAGAATGACCATGCACAGGACGTGATTTTGATTTGTCAGTGTATTGTGAATATGGCGAGATCGAGTATAGAGGCTAGAGTTTTTAAGCTAAACAATCCCTAACTGACCCTCATAGAAAACATTATGGTTAAGGCACAAAATGTCTTGCAATACAATGAGTTAGACATACCCAATAGTTTATGTTTGTATTATTTTTTATATTTCCAAAACAAATTATGTATGTTATGTACATTTTGAATTTAATTTAATTAATATAAGAGTCTTTTAATAAATGTATAATATGTTTGAATTAAAATATGACACTCTTAAATAATCAAAAAAAAATAGCCTAAAATAACATAAAATATAAGTTACCTAAAAAATGTCAGAAAATGTTGATGCATGTACAATAAACACGTTTTCAGCTGAGATACATGTTTGAATTCACCACAAATTCCAGAGATGTATCTTCAAATCAAATGAGTAAAAACTTTGATTTTAAACGTGTAGATTTAAATTTTCAAATCAATTTAAATTTTCAGAGGTGTCAAACATATCCCATAAGATAGGATGAGTAATCCCCATTAAACAAGACTTGTAGTTGTTGTCAACGAAGTCGATTACTTACATATAATCTTTAAAAACACTCCGAACATGAACAAATAGAACCCATTACTTCACTTAGAATACATTCCACCATTTCAGCTCAAGATTCTCCCACTTCATAGCATAATAGATCACCAAAATATTAAGAGGCTTCTTCCATTCATGATGTTTAAATACAGCAGACAAATTATCATAGTTTATATTCAAGTACCAAGGAAATTATCAACTTTTTGTTCCATAGGAAAATGAAACACAACCAAACAGTTGAGGCTCTTGACTTAATTATTTTGGGAGTCAATCCTGAATACAAAGTCTCTCCACGACTAAGTATTAAGTGACAACAGATGGCGTGCAACCAACAACAAATCCAAACATTAACTTAAAAACATAACGTTATATATTGCAACCATAAGTCATAGGTTACACACCATACATACTCCAGTCCACCTACCACAAAACAGAACAAGGAAAGGCACCATACATACTTACCCAACCACAAAAACAGAACTAGGCACCATACATACTTAGTCTACCACAAAAACAGAACTAAGCTATAGATGCATGAAAGCTTGTACTGAAAGCCTTCACATATAGAAGTCAACAAACAAGCCTACGGCTAACAAAGTTTAACCAGGTTCAAAAGACAGGTTGGAACAGTTATATATACAACATTATGTCAACAAATAAGCCTTCAACAGAAGAACATGGAGTTGCACACACTTTCCTGCAATTTTGGAAGCTGGGGGACAGGTACAGCTCCTGCAGCACTCAGTCCACCATGGCTTGAGGATGTCTCAGATTTATCCTCGAATTTCATGAACTGCCCCAACTGAGTTGCAGCTAAGTGTGCATAGCATATAGGTGCAACTGCAGAAAAAACACAAGTTGCAACCATGAATTAAATTATACCAATACCAATAATAGATGCCATGTAAGAACTTACCAACTGAAATAGCAGTAGTGCTCCTCTGATAACTGTTAGATACCACAAATTATTAACATTGATTAGTCATAAGTAATTCATTAAAATATGTCTAATTCCACCAATCAAATAGTTTCAAAGTTCTACTTACACATATGAAAGAGAATGAACAAGCTCCTGAAGTTCATCAGGTGAGAAGCCAATCTCATCAAGCAGAACATGGTAATGAGTAGGCCTACTTGTGCCCTGAGCAAAATATTTAACGAAAAAAAATGAAACAACTTCCTAAATGCCACAATCATGTCCAAAACTGGAAAAAATAACATGAACCACATCCAAAATATAATATTAAAAACACGGATACTCACTATCATCCCTGCATGAGCACAGAGGTAGAAATCATAGTTTCTGGGGTGACAAATTTTGTTGTCAATAACAGTACCTGTAAACACAGGATGTTAATAAGGATGTTAATAAACATTTAAACTGTAAAGGTTGTTTCCAATAAAAAGACTATCTGTTTGAATATTTGTAAAATACTTGCCTGGTGGGACATTTTCAGGAGCATTGGGTTGGAAGAATCTTGTGTGGTGGTTCTTTTGAGCAACAATTACCACAAATTTTGGGTTCCATTTTTCATCAAGAAACTTGCATGCCTAAATTCAGAGTCAACATTAGGTTAGTGCTCATGACAGAAATGTATGCTGTATGCTGCTAGGTAAATAGCACAGTTACTCAGCTTATGTACCTCAATGATCTGGTCAAGTTCAATATTCAAAACTTGATTGAACTGTGACTCGCTAACACCATCCCTGTATTTGATAAAAACAAAACATGTGTAGGTTCATTAGAAAAGAATTGCAATATTCAGAATGATATAAACATGCTTGAACAAATGCCAGATGCAAACATACCTAAAAATAATAATGTTATCTGGTTTTCTCTTCCCAGAACTATTATAGAAATCAAGCAAGAGTTCCCTGCAATTAATAAAATAATCAGGCTAAAAAGTCCTTTTAAATATACTAACGAGCAAGAAAATGGTCTCTATGAAAATAGAACTGCAAATAGAAGCTTAAGATAGATGATTTTAAAGGACAAACAGAATGTCCTAAAATAGAGCATGGTATGATAATCCAGTACCAGGTATAGAACAGAAATCCTTAATGCTTAACAACCAATCCCATAAATAAAGGTACCTTATGATGCCCTCATCTTCAGTATCTGATACTTTCTTGAACAAATTATCTATCATTTCAACTTTTGCAGATTGTGTGCGAACACATGCCCTATATTTGGATATCAGAGGCCACTGTCTAGAGCTGACAACCTACAAGTGCATATTTAGCATTAAACATGAATGTTATGGCACAGGAACCAGTACGGTAACACCATTGCATGCATTTCGAAACAAATTGTATCTATCGTGAACAAACCCAGCAATCACTTACAGCAGCAATTGAAGGAATATCAGTCTGCCCTGGAGAGCCATGTGACACATCCATTCCTAGAATGAGAGTAGGTGCTTTGGAAACAATAGGAAGAGACGGAGAACTTTCAACACTCAGCAACGAGTTTAACCCACCAAGCTGCAGGAGAATGATTGAATTAAATGGATAAAACATTTTGATATAATTAAGAAAGCAATAAAAATCAAGCACATGGGAAAAAATACAAGAGTGTTCAGAAATGGCAGTGGTACTAACTACATGTAGAAAGTAGCCACCCAGCTTTTTACCATAATACCAAGCCTAAAAATTACATACCTTGGCATTGATCTTCAACATAATATTACCCAGATACTGATCATTGACTCTTACGGGACACATGCACTGATTGACAATTCCATAATCAGCAAGATTCTTCTTTTTCCATGGACCTTCAATGTGACAATAATTTTCATCTAGTATACTATAAAGTTACTAAAAGCATAAAAATAAGGTATAATAACATCAGTACACAAACCATAAATATCACAGTTTTTTCTATCAGGAAGCAAACAGAGCAGGAATTGAGGAGCCCCAGGAAGTTTAGACTGAATGATCTCAAACATCTTCTCCACTCTAACCATTGGTGGGGCACGTCTAAACTGGGGATTTTCTTCAAACACATCAAATGGTTGGTCAATCATCTGCAAAGGTTTAAGGACAAAAACAATTCAATTATGCTAGCACATTCATACTTCAGTTAATAATATACACAGTTGCAAAACTTACAATTCCTTTCGTATTTCCAATTCTAATTAGATCCCTTACAACTGCCCGTACATCACATCGTGCAGAAAAGTTTGCCACAGCCCATTTCTCTATCTTTGTTGGCTGCACAAATTTCTGGAGAGAAACATGCAAGTTACTTTAAGAACTTAGAATGCGAGTCAATATTGTCAATAGCAGGATCATGTAAAAGACTATCTAATATGAGGTAAGTAAAAATTACCTTATTGTTAAAATTCCACCTTCCATTTCTCGGACTGAAATCTTCACCATTGCCAAATTTCAACTAATGAAAACAATTCAATAGTCAGGTTCAAAGTATAACACATAATATTAATGAAACCCAAACAAGCACTGTCATGATCAATATCAACTACATTAATTAAAACTATACCCTTGGAGCAGGCAAAACACGTCCTTCCACTTGAGTAAAGCCTGTGCTTATAGTAATTCCACAACTTTGAAGCAGAGGTTCAGCACCATAGTTGCTGGTTTTAAGTGCCTACAACAAAAGAACCCTTAAGACGCAACATAAAGATGACATGGCAATATCAATCGAAACTAAGCAAAACAACTTACATCAGATAAAATTCTCATCCTCTCTTGTGGCTTCTGTCTGGACTTTTCTACTAACGAAGCCCTTTGAAGTGTGGACAGAGCTTTGGTATATCGTTGCAACGACACCAATTCACACAGCTAAAGGCACAAACATGAACAAAGGGAGAGTAGGCACAAACATGAACAAAGGGAGAGTTAATAACCAAACACGCAATTTAAACCACGGAAAAAAATGCAATACTTCACAAATGGAAAAACTGAAATTCACCTCAATGGGTATATACGTTGGCCGTTTAGGCCTGCCAATATTAATGCATGGCAGATCAGCAGAGTAGCGCAGATCTATCTTACGGACATTAACAAAATAATCCAAAACAGTCATTTCTTCGGTACCATCCCCATCCCTTTTTTTCAAAGTAAAGCTGCCAAAATGTGATTCATATAAAAAAAATTAACTCATTATGCAAAACAACTCCGCAATACATTGCAGCACATACATAAGGTCAACAATATGCCTTCCTCAACTAAAGAAATTTAACAAAATTAAATGAAAAGAAAAGAAATACGTAAGCTCTTTGCATGGAACGTCACTGAGTCCACAAATTTTCCCCTCTTGATTGGATGGATGAGTTTTGACCCTCAGATTTTTTAGTGTCCTTTTGGCCTGATTAAGGAACCAAGTAAAAGATCAGACACGATCAATCAATGATGATAAACAATATGAAGCAAGTAGTCGTACCTTTGCCCAGTCAAGTTGAAAAGGATCTCTTGCATTTTGATTTGAAATTAAGAAATCCACCACAGGCCCAGGTTGAATTATCATGGTTGTTGTGACATCTAGATAATTTGGAAGATTGAGGAAAGTCAGACAATTTCAAATCCTGGATGGAAACCGTTGCTTTAACACCAAAAAAATAAAGATCGGTTGCATATGAGATAAAGATTCAACCTATGTTAAGGGAGAGACCGCTCTGAGTAGCTCTAAAACTTGAATGGAATCCCCTGCAGCCTAGAACACCACCCCCCACATCAGCAAAACTCTTGAGATCATTATGAAAAAAGTTTTGACGCACAAGTAGGCAGCCCCTATAATAGCAATGCAAAGTCAGAAATATTGAGGTGCAATAATGCACATGCATAAACAAAAATGAAAATACCCTACAAGGAAAAACTACTTACTGCTTAGCAGCATGTTGCCTCAAAATGATATCAAGAACTCTAACAGCTTCTTGGAAATTCTCTGTTTCCTGCCCACGTAACGCATTGGCAATGGCATACATAGGAACTTTGGTAGCAAAGCTTATCTCAACTTTAAATGCCTTGGCATTGAAAGGGCGTCGGATCCTCTTTTTGTCACTCTCATTGTCCGCATTACCATCAGGACTAAGATTACCATTATTTCTACAAAAATGATGGAAAAAATATAATACAACTGAAACAGTATGAAAACAGGTTTCAAGGGCCAGTAAAACAACACTATGATAGTAATTTCTACCTGTTAGATCGAGCCTCCTCTAAAACAATCTCAAACTCAAGCTTGTTTTGAGGAAGAGAGCCGATAGTAAACAGACTTTTCTCCCCGTCGTATGCAAATTCCTTGCCATTCAAGTCAGAAGCATATGTCTCCTGCACCCGGTCCATTATCTTCCTCCCAACACCCTTACCTTCCACAGGGCGTCCATCTTCATAAGTAAAAGACACCTTTGACATACCAAAAGAAGAAAAAAACGTTAAGTATGCGTAAATGAGCTTTAACACAAACACAAAAAAACATATAATACCAAATCACAAGATATGTTAGGGACATACACTGTACTGAAAAAAATATCCATCATTTTTACCAATGTTAACATTAAAATGATTAGTTAAAAGAGGTATCTTATTTCCTTTTGATCCCAACCCACGTCTTGCGATAGGAAGACGGGTAATTTTTTTCTTAACAGGTTCCTCTACTTTGAGAGGCACCACATCTGAGGGGACAACAGGAGGTGGAGGAGGCAAAGACTCCTCCTGCCCATTTCCATTTCCATTTCCTTCTGCAGAATCCATATCCTACAGATAAAATGCCACAAGTATAAGATAAAACAGAGTGAATAATATACAAACACATTTAATAGTTTGAAAATGCAAAAGTCCAAGAGGCTCTACATGGTAAACATATACAGTTAAAGCAGCCACCGCATAAAATCAACTATGCCCAAAGAGTTAAAACATATAAACTATGTTATGGAAACTGAAAAAGGTAATAAAACAGTTTCTATCATGAAACTAGCATAACAATAATGTAACAAAAACCAGGAAAGATCTCAACTAATAAATGATCTTGTACTGTTATCTAAGACTGCATTTCAGATAGCATTGCAGCAAAACAAATCAACTCTCAAAAGAATATTGCAAACGAAAGCAAACCCCATAACCGGTAAACAACTACAAATGCAGAGTAACCCAAAACATTATACCAAAAAAATACAAAAAAGACCCAAAATTTCTAAAACATTGCTCTATTTCTAAAAGCAAAAACCTTTTTTTCTTCAAAATAAACCTGCAAAAATTAAAAGATCGAAGCCGAACACATGCATGCAACACCCTCAACAACCTTAAAACACAAAAATCAAATGACAACATGGTAAAAGTTCCATTTTCAGAGAAAAAAAAAGAAAATAAACAAAACCACCCATTTTCAAAACAAAAAATTAAACTAAAACATCAAAATCAGAACACAGAACACTAATGCAGCATGCATGGTAAGAAAAACCTAACAAAACAAACATTCAAAAAAATAAATTTTTCATCATCGTAAAAATATATAAAAATTAAAATTAAAATTAAAAAATTCACTGATAAATTAAGTGACCTTGAAATGAAAATGGTCGAAAATAATTAGAGGGTAGTGTTTGTAGAGAAAGCTGAAACTACTAACTAAGAACGAAGATACAGAACCCTAAATCCACAGTTCAAAAAACCTCATAGTACTTACTGAGTTTCAGAAAGTGTTGTTCGGTGTTGTAACGTGTTTGTGTCAACGATCTCTCTATCTACTCTTAAAAGGGTGATGATGTAATGCAATAACTACAGCAGTTTTTCTCTGCGGTGCGCTTCGATGCAGTGCGAGCCTGTGAACCGTTGATTTTTTATTGCGATTTAATGGACGGATTAGATTGAATCATGGGTATTGTGAAGAACGATGTGCACGCTTATGATGGGGCAAGTGCTGTTGAAGTGCCTCGAGGTCCGTTGGTGAGTTTATCCATTTTGGGCTTCAACATTTACGGAAATGACGGACGAGTCCAAAGATTCGGTCACTTTCCAATTAAAAATTAAAAAAAGTTAAGAAATAATGGATAACCTAAACATAAAATGTGGTCCATAGAGGACATACCTAAACTACATTGGATGCTCGGTTTTTTGGGTTGAGATTTACACAATATTTACATTTTTTTGTCAGTTAAAATTAATAATACTAGTATATTATATCTCATCCTTTTTCAAAAAATAGAAAGATTCAAATTGTGTTGGACTCGCAAGATGATATATTTAGTTGCTTCGGTTAGTTGTTGGTATATATTAGTGACACGTGTCCCTTTGTTGAGAATAATTGTTTTTTGTTTGACAAGTGTTAAAATGCTTGTAAGATAAAAAATTTAATTTCCCTACTCATCCTGTTAACTTCCCATTCACCACATTAAAAGAAATTAACTTCCCATTCACCTCACTGAAAAAAATTAACTTCCATTAACTTTCTTAGTTATAACCTATTTTTTATTTTCTAGAGTCATTATGTTTGGATAGCTGCTCTCCTGTTCTTCGTTTTAATACAAATTGATTGAACTTCTGAGTATTCACTTTTCTTCTATTTTCATATTTAATTCTATTATTTTTGTTTTTTTTTATTTATACACTATTTTGTTGGATAGCTTCTTTCCCCTTATTTATTTTTAATCAAAATTGATTGAACGTATTCACTTTTTCTCAATTTTCATATATAGCAAACATATCAATTTTTGTCACACAATTAGGAATACTCAAATAAACCGGTTATTTAAATAATCCACGTCCATATCCAAATTCTTAATTATTAGTATAGTTTTAACCAAATCCACATTTTGGATATAATTTTAAAATGGTTTTAACCAAATCCATAATTTGGACATCCATATCCAAAATAAAAAGCAAATTAGTCAAAATTTTAATTAAAAAAAAAACTTTGAAAAATTTTTTCAAAAGAAAAATATTTTTATTTTGAAAACAAAAATATTGTTTTAATTTTTTCAGTAAATAAATTATTTTCAAAAAAAGTTTTAAAAATGATTTTTTTTTAAATTTTAAAACAACTATTGTTTTTTTTTTTAACATCAATATTTTTTTATAAAAAAATATTATATTTTTAAAAAAATAATTATAAGGTTTAATTTAATTTTCAAAAATTATTAACACAGCTTTAGTTATTGAAAAAAAAGGATTTTTTTACATTTTGTTTGATTGATGAAAAAAATATAGAAGAGTGAAAATAAATGAAAAAAAAATATTAAAATATAAGTAAATTGTCAAGTAGTTTTAAAAAAATCATTATTAGTTTATAAATATCAACAATTACTCATATTAATACATAAATAAATATAAAATATTATCACTAAAGATCAAAATCTAAATCAATCATTCACACTCATTTAACTCAAAACAATTGAGTTATATCACTCACTTTAATTATTTAATTTGATACATGAGAAAATAAAATTAATTATAATAGATAAAAAAAAAGTGAAATTATAAAATGACTTATATGTCTTTTAAACAAAAATTATATATGATAAAAAATAATAAAATATATATTTCATTACAATCAATAAAAAATTACAAAATATAAAAGTTAGTATAAATTTATTAACTAACGATAAATAATTAAAAACTAACATTCTTTTTTTATAAATTTACATACTACCTAGGATGAAGATTAAAAGAAAAAAATGTTAGTAGATAACATGTGATTTTTTTTACGGGTTAATAAATTGCTATGTTTAAAAACAACCTTAATTATTTTTTAATAGATAATTAGAACTCACGTTATTATAAAAAATGCAGGTGTAGACAAAAACAAAGTTTAAAGCATTAGTCACAGAACGAGTAAAAACGCACAAGGGCCAATGATGCAATGGATATTATATTTTTGAAAAAAATCAATTTTAAAATAAAATTCAATCAAAATTAATTATAAAATTGGTTATGGATATAACCTGTTAATAACCGGTTTATAACCATTTTAAAAAATAAAAACTGGTTATTAGAATTGGTTTTAATAACCGGTTATAACATATGGATTATTTATGGTTATGGATTGGTTATAGAAATTCACCATCCATGAGCATCCCTACACATAGGTTATAACATATGGATTATTTATGGTTATGGATTAGTCACAGAGTTGACTTATATCACTCACTTTTTTTTTATCTATTATAATTAATTTTATTTTCTCATGTATCAAATTAAATAATTAAAGTGAGTGATATAACTCAATTGTTTTGAGTTAAATGAATGTGAATGATTGATTTAGATTTTGATCTTTAGTGATAATATTTTATATTTATTTACGTATTAATATGAGTAATTGTTGATATTTATAAACTAATAATGATTTTTTTAAAACTACTTGACAATTTACTTATATTTTAATATTTTTTTCTTTTTCCATTTATTTTCACTCTTCTATATTTTTTTCATCAATCAAACAAAATGTAAAAAAACCCTTTTTTTTCAATAACTAAAATTGTGTTAATAATTTTTGAAAATTAAATTAAACCTTATAATTATTTTTTTAAAAATATAATATTTTTTTATAAAAAAATATTGATGTTAAAAAAAACAATAGTTGTTTTAAAATTTTTTAAAAAATCATTTTTAAAACTTTTTTTGAAAATAATTTATTTACTGAAAAAATTAAAACAATATTTTTGTTTTCAAAATAAAAATATTTTTCTTTTGAAAAAAATTTTCAAAGTTTTTTTTTAATTAAAATTTTGACTAATTTGCTTTTTATTTTGGATATGGATGTCTAAATTGTGGATTTGGTTAAAACTATTTTAAAATTATATCCAAAATATGGATTTGGTTAAAACCATACTAATAATTAACCGGTTTTTAATAACCGAATTTGGAGATGGATGTGGATTATTTAAATAATCGGTTTATTTGAGCATCCCTACCTAGACACAATTAACATCTTTTTACAATTTTCATAATGATGAAGGGATGAAACACACATACAATTTATCTTATCATCATAAATGATAACCCTATAACTTCCTTCAATTAATTAAATAAATATAAATAAATAATAATTAATTAATTAATTAATTAAAGTATTAAATAATGAATAATGTCATTCCCTCTTATCATTCCCATCCACGTTTTCACATTAAATAATTAAAAAAAATCAGCTAAAAATTAAATTCAAAAACACTTATTTCTATATTACTAATTAATTAATTAATTTTATTTGATTAATTAATTATAGATGTGAGTTTATGAAAAAATACGTGTTGTATAGTTTTTCATAAATTCACATATTTAATTAATTAATTAAAAAATAAATTATTAATTAAATTATTAAATATTTAATAATTTTATTTGTAATAGAATTTGATTGGTGTAGTCTGTTTGTTTTTGTAGTTGCTTCGTCGCGGTATGTTTGGACCGGTCCTAATCGACATGTATTGTATTATTTTTTTATAATAATATATTTTTTTTATTCCAAAAAATAATAATGATAATAATCTCACTTTCTCTTATGTTTTCACCTTACTATTAACTTCCCAGTAATCTCATTTACTTTGAAATCATCTCTTTATTTGCCTTTTAAAAAAAACTTCCAAATCATCTTATTAAAAAATATTAATTTTCAAATCATCTCATTAAAAGAAATTAACTTCCACTAACTCTCTCATTTATAACTTATTTTTAATTTTCTAAAGTCGATAGGTTTGGATAGCCCTTTTTTCCTCTTCTTCATTTTTATACAAAATTGATTGAATTTCTGACTTCTCTTCAATTTT